GTGATAAAATTAGCTTTAAATAAATGTACAAWACAAGCAGTACATACTTTGCCTAAGAAAAAAATCCCGCTGGCCACTCGCAGATCATGTGAACTCAGTTATTTAGCTGAGCTAAAAACATCAATTATTCCGAGCCTTATCTGACTGTAGATTTGGATCTGTTTAACAACAACATTGCCACAGATAAAAACGCATGACAATCCACAGCTCTTTACTAAAGCAAGGAAAAGCTCCTGCAAACAATGGTTGCTGCCATTTAACAACAGTCATGAAGAAAAGAGGTAAGAGTGAAAAATCTGCACCTCTGCTTCTATCCTTCAGAGCTTTCTTTCCCTGAAAAGAAAAAGCAAGTCTTCCTCCTCTGACAGTCAACTCTTCCTTCCATATCACAGCACAAAGGAATGGGTAGCCTTCAGCTATCAGTCCCTATTGTCCACAATGAAGGTGATATTCTTACTTCTTCCCCCCTACAAGGGTTTCATCAATCAGTAGAAGTTCTGCTCTGTTCTTTCAACCAGTGTCACAGAACCTGGCTCTGTMCTGCTTATCACCATGATCCAAGCAACAGCAAAATAGTGGTTCAAACATACCTAGTACTCGGCACTGGGTAAAGTTCACAGCAGCTGTTTTGAGTCCCAGAAAGACATCTGAGAGAAGCACCATAAATAACGACATCACATGGAGTCTCCCATTGCACAACCCACATACATCTTTCSTGCTCAGGAATTTACGCCTCACACCCTATGCTGTCAGTCAAGAGCATATTACAAACGATGTTTCCAAGATGATCCAGAGGATATTTTGGAAAGTAATACAGCCCTCCTGTTGGCTGAATCTTTTCAAAATACCAGTTCTACTCCATTACGAAAAAGACAAATGTTTCTATTATCAAAACCATGGTCTTTCTCAGGAGCAAGCTGTAGGTCCACGTGTGCATTTTATGCATCATGGATGTCCAAAACCAGTTCCAGCAAGTCTGACAGCCAAGCAGAAACTGAAGGGGACTACTCCTTTGCAGACTCAGGATATAAGTTCTTCTTCAGATATGCAAATGTAAAAAGCATGTTCTCCGACTACAGTTTTCAGTAAATCCCAAATGTGAACAGCCCCTTTTCAAGATAAATTTGTTTTACTGCTAGATTAAAATTAAACCAAATTCTCTTAAAACACCTCATTCCTAGGCATCTGCAAGGAGACAACCACTCTTCAAAGCAGTGCCTAGGTATAAGTGAGAAAGAAGATATATAACTATTTTATAAAAATGAGATTTTTTTCCTGGAGTTTTGCCACAAATTGCCTTCGAGGGCTTGGTTCAGAAATTCCAAAGTTAGTTTATTGTTTTTCTTATTGAGAACTAATTCCTTTTAGCAATTCTGTTAATCTTGGAGTTTGAAGTTATTTTTATTAAAGTAACGCCCAGAGTTTAGATATTCCGTAAAAAGATCAGGAATTATTATTATTAAAGTAACACCCAAAGCTTAGACATTCCTTGCAAAAATAAGGCAAAATATCTTCATTCTTAAAAAGGCTCTCAGTCTTTTCAACACAAACACAGATTTCACTGAGCAAACTGAGCACTGAGAAGTTTTATCAGCCATTTTTTTTATCTGAGTTAGGGAAAAAGTAATTAAGGCAGGATTTTACTGCCTTAAAAAATCTTGAGCTTTTTGCTCCTAATAAAACCATGTGCCTTTTTTCTTCCTCTCTTCTTGCCTTCTGTTATGGAAGAAGCAGCACGGATTTCCATTCCCTGATGTTAGATTTCTCATGAGACATTTGTGCTGGCTTTGGGGTGTACTGCCAGCTACTSAGGTAGCAGAGAGTCCCGTCCACTCAGGTAATGCCAATTTCTGATGGTGCTTCTTAAGACTACAAAAAACTGCAGTACAGCCCTTAACTCTTTTGCCACAACAKAAGTGGGGCTGCAAAGTAAAGGATCTTACCTCCATTCCCGAGGGCCTGAGGCACTGAAACCTTCTGCTCTTCAGTGGCAGCTCTGTCTCAAGGACAAGATCAAGTGCTRCCTTTTTGTTTGACTAACTACTTTAATAAGCAACACCCAGGTTCCTWACCGTGACTAAAGCACAATTTAAGTGTTTGGAGGGGAAAGAGAACGCCTTTTGATCACTACTTCTGATCTAGAGCATAAGCAACCATGACTAAAGACTCCACTTCGTCAGCAAGCCTACTCCAAACACTGTTGCTCTTTAGGCATAACAGGCCAAAGACATCATGGATTTAATAACACGTTTTTTAACAAGGTGCTGCTTCCCTGTTGAAGAAGGCATGCAATGACAACTTTCAATCTCTTTAATGTAGAAATTAGGGCTGGGGCACAATCTTTTCAATTCCTCCAAAAGAGATGTTAAGTTGCAACATACCCACCTTTCTCTCTGCAGCGTGTATAATTTCAGCTTGCTCAACAGCAGCGGCACTCCTGAGTTCAGGAGGACTTTAAAAGGAGCGATTAAGCTCACGGAAGTAAGCTAACATGAATAAACTGCCCAGGCAACAGAAACATTCCAGAGCCCTGTGCTGTCACCAGGCTTTTGGCCAATGCTGCTTAATCATATATGCAAAACATAAATTACAGGAAGATTCATCACTGGTTAGAATATTCTCAATTAATAATTGTGCATTGCATTGAATAAGCTTTCCGGCAAACTGTCCTCAGACAAAAGCACTGGGATATTCTCCCCATTTTCTRAGCTTCTACTGGCACCAGCAGCACAAGTGGTAGAGCAAAGGCTTCCTCTCTGGGTCTCCTCAATCGATCAGTCAGCTTTGGAAGGGAAGTTCGACAGCAAGTTTAGGACCACGGGAGCTTCACACTGCTGATATTCCTGACTCCTATGGCTGGCTACAAGGTATCCTGGCAGCTGCTGCAGGATCCGTTCTCATCTGGGCTCAGCCTGAACATACCGGTTCATACTATCCGGGCGTGTAACACCRAACTGAAATGCAAAATGCTTGTGGCACGGAGGAGGATATTTTCACTACAAGGCMCACAGAGTTTAAGATATCTTCTTGAAACACAGACACACTCACAGCTTAAATATTTAARACCCTCTTGAGCCTTGTCATAGAATTTATACAGCTCTATCCAAAAACCTTTGATCTTCTGTGCAGCGATGAGTAAAAAACCTAGCCAGCCACATTTTGGTTACAAGGAGAGAGATGACTTTTCCACCRCTTCACAGAAGATTATAGTTTTCACATAAGATTATAGAGTCATGGTTGCAACGSCATCTGAAGACTGCATTTACAAAGAACAAAGGTCTGATGTTCAGCAGCTCACACGGAGACAAAAGAGTGGTCAGATTCACAGAAACATTGTARTTATAATCGAGAGCAACTTGTTAATGATTTTCTGGGGTTTCTTACAGATGTAACGTTTTAACTGCTTAGAAAGCCTTCCCTCACATGCTTCATGTGATCAGACACCACTAAATCTACACATCATAACAGCTTTTTAGACAGTATTGGTTAAGCTAGAAAAGAGTTCCCCCTGTACAGCATTCTCAAAAACACACGCAATAGAAGATAACTTTGGCCCAATTTTTGTTAAGGTCATAAAGTTGCCCCATCCAAAACATCTACAATTCTGCATGAACAAAGTTCCAAGAGAGTTTGAGAATTCGTCCCCATGCATGCCTATAAGCCTGAAAAATAAATCTATTGTCTCTCCACTCTATCTRCCTTTGCTTTTAAGGACTAATTTTTTACTACATGCAGAATTGTGAATTAACAGGTAAAAATCTGCAGAAATCTGAGGTAAAATTTCAAAAGCTGACTACACCTCTCACCCCAACACATATTTGTACTGTAGCACTGAAATATGAACCCCCTGCAGAACAGGGTAYAGTTTCACCGGGACAGAACTTCAGTGGTTGCATTAGCCAGGAAAACAAACCACAACCTGCCCTTCGCTCATGGCTCAAGCAGCATTCTTCAAATACCCTAACACATGCAAAAGGCACGCACCCTGAAAAACCTTTTGCTTTTGGAAATTCTCTTACAAGCTTTTTGTTATAGGCAAGTAAGTTTGTGAAATGCTCGGGCCACTGCCTCAGGTCCATGAATACAAACGAAGCCGCACGCTGCTCCAGATTTCTAAGCCCTTCACGCTGCTTTCAGCTAAGCTGAAAGACAGACTGCGAAATTATTATCTGCAGCCCGAAAGAAGGCTGTGCTGGGAAAGCTGGGAGGTGCGGGTTCATTCTGACATGCTGCTCCATTGAAGCGAAAAGAGCCGCACCGGGCGGCTGCGGCGGGCAGCGGCGCCGGCAGAGATGCGCCATTGGAAAAGCTCCRTTCCCTGCCTGCCCGCCCGGGTGGGCAGGGCCGGTGGGAAGGAGGGAGGGCTCAGCCGTCCGGACAGCCACGAGACCCCGTGCCGGGACATCGCTGCGGCGCCCGCGGGGCGAACCGGGGGTACGGGACACGCGGGGAGCGCTCCCGCGGAGGATGGAGCGGAGAGCCCGCCCGGCCCGGCGGCGGCACGCAGCCCGCCCGCGGAGATGCGGCCGGACCCGGACACCCCTTCTCCGCCCCCGACCGTGCTTTCTCCTCGGGCGGCCCCTTCCCGCCTCGCCACGGCTCCCGGCGAGGCGACCCCTCCCCTCCCCTCGGCGCGGACGGGGCACGGGGGGCGGCGGGGGCGAGGGCGGCGCGGCCCCACTCACCGCCCGGCGGGCGCCTCCGGCCTCCGAGCAGCAGCGGCGGCAGCACCGGCGGCAGCGGCAGCGGCGGCAGCAGCGGCGGCAGCGGCAGCGGCACCCGGCGCGTCCCGGAGACGGAAGCGCGGGAGGAAGTGAGGTCGCGCCGAGGGGAAGCGGCGCAGTTCCGGGGGGAGAAGGGGGATGCGGAGCGGGGGATTCTCCCGCGCYCGGGGCTCTGTGCCTCGTAAACCCCGCTGAGTGACGGGGACGCGGTGCGGAGCCGGGATATCGCACGGCCAGAGTAACGCGGGAAAGACATGGCAGTGGCAGCCCCGGGGCTCTCCGCTCTCCCCGCTCTCCGTGGCCCCCGGCCCCACGGAGCGACCCTGCTGTTTTCCGCGGTTTACACGCGAGGAAGCTGTCACGGGGGGCCAACCTTCACCCAAAGGTGCCTTTTTATGGGGCAAACCCACTGAACCTTCTGCCACTGTAAGTTCGGCCGAGTTCACGTTTTACAGCCCCTACAGATATTGAAGTACAGATTATTTCAATCCGCTAACATCCGGTGCTCAAAGCCTATCTCATATTCATTCTTCATATCTAAATGGAACCGCAGTGCTGCTCACCACTGCTCCAAGACTTCAACACAGAACAGGAGAAAACTCCTGGACATACACTCCCAGCGCTGTGCTGTTTGTTCATCACTTGGCCAACTCAAGTTGTGTAACCTTAGGWATTACAGCATGATACATCTTCAAGTAGTTTTCATGATTAGATGCTTTTATTTAGAAGTAAGTGCTGCAGAACCCTTTTAATTCACTGATGTTGAGATTTACCTAGAAAGAAAAATTAACTGCAGTGTGAARTCTCTTCTGGATAAGCTGTGACCTGCTTATACAGATTTTTATAGACAGAGTATTCTTTACAGCAATCTGACTAGATTARGCTAACCACCTTGCTATTAACATTACAGTAGTGGCTTTAAGTGTCTTCTACTCGTGTAGTTCACTGTGTACTTCTCAAAGTTTCTCCAGGAAAGGTTCACAGTACTGCATACACAACTCCCAAATACAAAGAGAGCAGAACTTTTCTGCACTACCACTATCAGCACTCCGGGCTCTCAAAGCTGTTCACCTTCACCAGGCAGTAAGRCCACAGTGCCTTCATTCACACTTATTGACTGTATTCAGCAAATTTGACAACTCATGATGAAGGAACACAAGGGTTTCCAGGCAGATTGGTACTGCCTTGCTTTCTCTAGGGTGCTGTTGCCAGAGAAGGTAGGAGCTGATTTCCAAGGTGCTAGCAGAGAGAAATAATTTAAGACATTGGTAAGACTGCACTTCCCTACCCGCAGGTTTCTCTGAGCAGGTCTGTCCTGTGCTGGGTGCTTTCATGCTGAATGTTCCAGTAGGCAGGCACTCTGTTTACCTCACAAAGGCTCAGAGAAAAGCTACTWAGAACAAAGTTTTAGGGACAGTCCCCTTCCTTTCCCCCTTGCCTTCAGCTATGTATCAATTAAAAAGCATTGAAAATAGCTCCACATTGACTCTTAAAATCAGCACTGGATATATATCCTGAGTTCCTACAGAACTGTGGGCTTCACTCCACTGAGAGCTGTACGCTTTCAGTCTGTTTTGGTGGCTGCTGCTGCTGCTGTTCATACTTCCTTGCTGAAAAAAAGAAACACCAATCAACACCAATATACCATTTATTATATATTATTATTACTATTACTATGTATTGTATATACACATATATATGTATACATATGTGTATATATATGTATACACGTATAACTATGACAACCATCAACAAGTAGACTTAATATCAGAGAATGTAATTTAAGCCACAGCCACACAAGGGGAAGTTTCAGTCACCATGTGGAACTTCACATTTAGCATGTGGCCTTGCAAATGATCAACAGTAGAGTCATGGAAAAATGTCAGCAAATCAATGGCAGAGAAYTATGATTCCATTCAGGTCCTCTTATTAAAATAAAAATACATAAAATGAAAGGCTCAACTGAACAACTCAACCGTCAACAGGCTGATGTCCACGTTGCTCATCTCCACAATATGTAAGCCACAAGCTAACAATTACATTGACTTCAAAATTAATCTGGTTAGCAAGGCAAAGGGAGACCAAAGACTYGTGTGCAGTGGTACAGACATCAGCAGGCCTTCGACTGCAGAAAGAACATCCAGTTTATTCCTACAGAACGCAATGGCCTGGTGTAAAGAATCTTTACATCAAATCTTTGCATTTAGAAGGTGGTTTCAGATCACTAAGTTGTTTTCTTTTTTCCCCCACTTATTTCCTCTAGGCATACATGTATGGCAGATGTGAAGCAAAGTCAGGTGTTTCTCTGAATTGGACCACTGGAATATCAGGGGCATGGGGCTCTTTCCTGCCTCCATCCTGACCTTCAGCAATAAGATGGGAGCAGCAACAGTGTTGGTACAGTAAAATTCTCATTTATTTTCAACTTATGTGGTTGTATTGCTCATGATTCCACAGTCCTCTCAACTTTTACAAATCCGTCCACGTTTTGACAACATCCAGACGCTCCCAGCTCTTTCAAAGTGTAACATGGGATTCGTTTTGACATTTGCTTTAAGAGAATTGCACAGCGCTCCGTACTTGCCCAAGCAACAGTCCTGCGGCCCTGGCTGCTGCAGAACCCCTGCTCACATGGTGCCACAGGACCAGGCTCTGCCCACCGCACAAGGCTCGAGGCCACCCCTTTAGGAACCCTTTTAGGAAGGGTCCCCAGAMGCCCGCAGGCCCGGGGGAGCCCCTCTTCCCTCTGACTTACCGATGGAGTACATCTCCAGCTGCTGCCGCAGGCGGATCTTCTTCATGCTGTCGTAGAAGTTGGGTTCGGGCGGCGTCTCGGCGGCCGGGGGCAGGGTGAAGATGCGCATAATCCTCCTCTTGTTCCTGCGAGGAGGGGGCAAGGCGGTGAGAGGTGTCGCCCCTCCACGAGGGGGCCCCGCGGGAGCCGCCGCCCCGCCCCGCCCCGCCCGGGCCTCCTCTCACCGCCGCGCGTAGACGAGCAGAGCGAGGCTGGCCAGCACCACCAGCAGGTACACGTTGGTGGCCTCGTTCCACGCCTCGTGCACCGAGTAGTCGATGGCGCCGCCGTCGCCCAGCGCCGCCGAGGATCCGCCGCCGCCGCCCGCCCCGCCGGCCCCCGCCACCACCGCCGCCATGGGGAGCGCGGCCGGCAGGGGCGGCCCCGGCGGCCCCGGGAAGTGACGTCATGGCGGCGCGAGGCGCCATGGCGGGGMGGGCGGGGGTCCTGAGGGGAGCCGGGAATAATGAATGATAGATAATGCTGAGTGTAAAATGCGCCGGTGAACAGTAGTGCTGCTGCTTGCTCAAATGCATAGATAGAAAAAAATCTTGATAGTCGGCGCGCCTGATGTGCAATACTCCACCGAGCACCTGGGTTTGTGCAACTGTAAATGACAGGTTGTAAAAGAGCTCTGACTGAGACCGTCGAGTCCAACCTATGTCCAGACACCACTTTGTCAACCAGACCAGTCTTTCCTTAAACACCTCCAGAGACAGTGACTCCCCCACCTCCCTGGGCACTCCGTTCCAGAGTCAAATCACCCTTTCTGWGAAGAAATCMCTCCTAATGTGCARCCTAAACCTATGCTGRCGCAGCTTARGGCCACCTTAAGGCCTCTTGTCCTGTCACTTACTACCTTGGAGAAAAGGCTGACCCCCGCCTGGCTGCACCCTCCTTTCAGGAATAATCAGTGTCTCTTTCAGGTGTGTGATTACCGGCTTKTCRCATGYTGGGTAACAAATCCAATTTTTCTGSACTGTCTGTGGGRCCCTGGGGCACGTTCCCATACTTTCATTTCCSCTCCAGCTACCAGACCCTTGGAGAGAGGACACGCAGAAGGGATTGCTTCTCTCCAGGGATATGGGCTCAGGGGATATAATGAAGTTTTTTGGTTTTGTGGTGCCAGCATCCAAGAGGAAAGGCACAGATGGRTGTGGGACCAGGAGGAGTGTGGAGAAGCTCTAGAAGCTTCTGGCAGKCATGGAGTCACCTCCTGGTGGGTCGGTGCTCATGCAGGGGCAGCAGAATCATGTGGAATGCAGTTCTGCAGTGTGTGGTGTTGAAAGAAAAAGAGGTTCAGACTGTCATGAGCTCTGGCTTTGTACACAGGAACTAAATGTGAAAGTTTAAATTTGTCAAAATAGAGACGTTTCTGAAAGATTTGGGGGTTTTGGTTGGTTTTGTTGGCCTTTTTTTTTTTTTTTTTTTTTTTTTTTTTTTTTTTTTGGAGGGGGGGCGGGTTTATTGTGACACAATGAGAGTTGCTGGATATTCAGATGCTGGAATAACATAGCTTAATCAATGGTCCATGTGCTCCTAATGCCAAAGAGCACAATTCTAGGATTCTGCTAGTGTTTCAGCTGAGAACTGAAGAGTTTTCTGAACTCCATAATGAGACGCAGATAAACTAAGCTGCTCTAACACTCACATGCACACAAACTTTTTTTTTCCCTACTGCCTGATATGGAATGTTTGAGCTACRTGAGAGGTTAGGCGTGCTTTTCACTTGGACCTTCTGCTTGTTTCTATCCACTTCTGCCACTGATACTTCCTTTTACAGTATCTTCCTTCAGATACCAGAACTGTTACAATGTGGACATCAGGGATATGGTTCATGTCCYTCTGCTTAGTGTATATTTGGGRTATGTGCTTGTGTTACAGTTRCCTCTCTTCACTCTTTGTAAGACCWTAAAGGGGGAAAACCCYAGTATTTTTATGGCATGATTTCTCTAACCTATGTCAAACATTCAGAATAACACCTCCTGCGCCTGGGAAATGCTCTGTGCCCTGACTGAGTGTCAGGAGTCTACACATCTCATTTGGATGGCACTTGCTTTGCCACTGTCTCATCAGCCTGGGGAAACTCTGTCCTTTGGGGAGCTGTGTTCTCACTTCAAGAGGTTCCAAGTCTTCCTCTTTCCATTTTTCCATGGTATGGAACAAATTCATTTTCAGAGCCCTTAGATCAGCACATAAAAGAATATGTGTGAAAATGACAATATAAAAAACAAAAWCCTAAGGCACTGTTGTCATGAGAAAAGTTCCTTGCCCCACATGGTGTGGGAAAGGAGGATAGAACAGCAATTAGACATAATTCTAGGTTATTAAATTGGGATGGCACCCATGCACAGAACTGTGGAAACCACTAAGAGAGATAAAAAAAAAGTGACTTACGCAACACGACAAAAGACAGTTAATTAAGCGTGGTTTCACAGGGATTTTAAGCAGTTTCTTGTGAAGTTGAGGCTTTTTATTTGCTTTTTAGTATGTTGAACTTTTCTGCTAACAAGMCTGACAAGAAAGCATTACACATCTTCGGAAGAAAAGTGGAAAAACAAATGTAAGTAACTTCAGTGCTCTTTATATTGCACTACTATCTTTAGACCTCAGCTGAGATCAGGCTCCCTTGTACGAGGAGGAGAGAAGCTGTATTTAAGCTGTAACTAAAGACACTTTTTGTATTAACCCCACAGCTTGCTGTGAACAACCCTGGAAGGGACTGGAACATCCCACGACTCTGCATGCAGCTTCCCATGCAAAGGAAACCAAGGCCTGTATCCACAAAGCATGACCTCAGGTCCTGGAATTTTCTCTGCAGCCTCCAGCACACAGCAACAGACTTTGCCTCACTCAGCCTTGCCTGGTCCACTTGATGTAATGAAATGCTTGATTCAAGACTCTGATAATCCACCCGCCCCCAACCTACAAGACAGGCAGAGACAGGTTTTCTTCCCCATACCCCTCTGATTTTAGTAAATGTGAATCAGTGGGTAAGACAGAGTTAGACTGAGGAGCACATCTGGCACTGCCCTGAGTGTGACAGCYTTGCAAACCTAAGGAAAAGGGGTGATCTTCCCCTTACCAGCCTGTAGAAATAGGAGTTCTGGGGATGCAGACTTTCTGMATGACTTCCTTGAGGAGCCTGGTTCAAACACCAAAGTTTGTKGACTCTTTTGTTTGTAGCCTGTAGGTTAGCTTGTCTGGTACAATTTTATTTCCTTTTATAGCTTGGTCTTTTGTTTCAATCTTAGGCTCCTACAGCATATTCAGAAGTGGGAAAGAAAGCAACTCTTGAATTTGGCCAGAGTGTAGTCAGGCCTCTGTGTGTGAGAAATTGTGTTACCTGTTGGTATAGATTATGTAGCATGTTTATTTGTGGCTTGGATGAGGTGTGATGGGTGTGTGCTGTTCATGCATGAGGACATAAGTTGTTTTATATTTTCTTATCTAAAGCTGAGTGTAGGCAAAAGACTGTCATTTTGTGCTGTGCCTTGTAACATCTGACCCGCAGAATCCTGGCCTATGATCAAAGCATGTAGGCACCAAACTAATAATATGTAATAATAATACATGGCACTGGCATAAACTAAACATAGGTAATGGAGACCCAAGCTTAGGGGCTAAATTTTCAACATTACAGGCACGTACACTGTGGGGGTTTCAGTTTGAGTTAGACACAACACTCCATGCCTCCGCCATCCCAGGAATGAGCTCTTTGGGAGAAAAACACATAAAAATCCCAACCTTAACAGAAGTGGAGACTTTGTTCATTCCACAAAGAAATCCAGAGTGTACTTGATAAAAGTACCATCTTTGGTGTCATAGATTTATCAAGAGAATTGTTTAAGAGGGTCTTCCAGCTCTACAGGGAAAGAATTCACTTTCCAAAGGTCATTAGCATCCAGCAACTACTAGAAAATTGACTGAGAGCTACTGAATGCTATCAGTTTTTAAAATCCAGTTACTGCATATCCAAAATGTGAATGCTGAAACAGTAAGCTTGGTCTTTTGAAAATTATGGCCAAAGAATCTGTGTGTGTGTGTAATTTTTAATGGATTTTGAGTTAGCCAGAGTTAAACAGAATCAAAAATTGCTGAGACAAAAATATCATTGTAATGTAAATAAATTCACCATTTAATCCTGATAAATACTGGATTATAGACTTCTGAACAGAGATTGACAATTATTGGAAATCATGTGATCATCTCAAGTATACAGTGTCTCAATTAAAATAAAACCACAAAATCCTTTTTCTTTTTTAAAAGTACCATCTAGCATGTAATTTATTTGGTTGGACTCTACAAATGTACACATTATATCATGSTAGAAGAACTCGAGAACCACTTTTTTCTTGTTCCCAGGGTCTCTTGACTGTTGGTAAGACWTAACAGTCATAATGATAGAATCGGTTTACAGTTGCATATTCTGCCAAATACCTCACAAATTATATTTGGCAAACAGCACTGCCTCTGTTTCACAAAGATAATGATCTGATGTTTTGTTTATGTGGCACCAAAGGAAAATATTATTTTAGAGCTTGTGACAGAATTTCAAAAAGTTTGTGTGGTATTCTAAACTTCTGATACATTTTAAAGTTACCGCTCTATTAAATATAGAGCAACATAGATTTTCAAACTATCCTGCAAAAAAGAAAAAAAAATCAAACAAATGTTCAGTTAAATACATTGTGTCCATTTTACTTCCTCAGCGTTTACCCAGACCTAGGTARGAGCTGGGGTAGATATTCATGTGCTACTTTTTAAATCTGATGGTGTCAAACATACAGATGCGCTGCCATAAAGGCTGCTCACCCCTAYAGGATTTAGTGTTATAGGAGTCCTTTTAGGATGTAGTCTGAAGTCCATAGCGCAAAATGGGAAATGCTACATCAGACTTGACTCCCCAGAAGAGTGCAGCCAGCATGCAGTTTGGGAAGGAAAACAGCACAACCTTGACAGTGCTATTCCTTGGATGGCTCCAAGGAAATAATGAAAGGAGCAGTGGGTTTGAACTGAATGTCAAACTCTGCTCTGAGACAGGCAGTTTCCATTCTGTAACTGGTGGTACAAACCCACCTGGTAAGGGCTCAACTTCAGTGGGAAATCCACTGGGAATTTGTTTTGGCAACATCACTGGACCAAGGCAGTGAGCCCTGACACAGCTGACACCTGCAGCCAGACTGTCAGCAGGCTCAGCTCCATGCCCTAGGTCTCCTGGTGTCCTCCGCTGTTAGCACAGCAGTGTCCCACCAGAGTTCAGTCTGGGAACCAGGTGCTATTTCCTGAGTCTGAGTCTGGCAGACCATTTCTGCTTTGATTCTTTGTCTAGCAGTTGGTTGGTTGGGGGTGGGTGCAGTATGCTGTGGGACTCCTGCAGGGATGGCAGAGGAGGCATTGCCCAAAAGGGAAGGGCAAGGTGGTTACACAGACCTCAGCAAAAGAATTGTCCTGTCCCTTGGAAAGGGGCCAGACCCAGGGCCTCCATCTTGGTGATAACAGCAAACAAAAGCCCTGGAACGACTGGGATCATATCTGCCTTGGCACTGACTACCTAGGGTGGTTTGGGGAACCTCCTCTGAAGTTTTCTGTAGCTGTCCTTCTTGTCCTTCTCCATCTTTGTGCAGTTTCTTTGACTGGACATTTAGGATGGAAGAACAGTAATACAAAAGGACACATGGCAATGACCATTCCTAGAGAAGCAACTTTTGTGGGAAAGGACAGGGAATGTGGTATACTTTATCTGAGCCTGAGATAAGAACCAGCAGCTGTTGTTGAGGTTAGCCAGAGCTGTGGCAGAGGTCTTAGCAAGKGAGGTCATGCCCATTGTTCTAGAGCTGGTTGGGGAGCAAGTGAGTAGAGAGGGGCTTGCAGGCTCCCAGCTGTGAGCAGGCCTCTTCCTGACCTTCATCTTTTGATGCTTTCCACAAGACATACAAAAGCTGCTTGTACTGAGGCAGCAAAGTCCTTGAATGTTTATCAAAGTTGGTTTTAATTGGTGGTAAAGACTGAAATACCCAGAAAAGAGATTTGGAGAGAGGGGAGAGTACTGCATGTGGGACTGTCCTGCTTCTTTTCCCGCTCTCTGTGTTTCCTTGCCTCTTCTCTTTAAGGGAAAAGAAGCTGAAAATTTGGGAAGGACTGGATTAATGCAATCATGAGATGCAGAAGGAGTTAGCAGGGAAGAACAGAAAGATGCATAGGGTACAAATGTCTGATTTTACTGAAAGACTGGAAAGAGCTGGCACACAAACTTGGTTTTGGTCTTGCCAGGCTGAGATAGAAATGGAGAGTAAAGTACACAAATACCATGAGCAAGCTAAAAGGGAAGTGGTATGTGTGGCATGTGTGGCTAATACGACAACCCTTGTATCTATCTGTCTTGTTCCTTCAGACTCACTAATGCAAACACGATGAGATTTATGGAATTTTGCAAAATTCTAAAATACTGTCTGCAAGGCCAGATTCTCGCTATGTTTGGGCTTAAGAGCCAGCTGTTAATAACTAATGCTAGACTGACCATGCTGCCATCTAGTGTTTCCTAGTGGACAGAAACATCCCAAAAAAAGAAACTGCAGCTCCATAATGTTGTATTCAGAACAAATCTGATTTATTCCTGCTGAAATACAACGCTGGACAACACACAAGCTGGAGAGGGCATGGGGAAGAGATGTGGAGAACCCATTGCTCAGAGTGAATGTTTAGGGACATGTCTTTTCCTAAAAAAATTTGCAACTGTTTCATCCAGGAACAGAGAGAGTCATCTCCATGGCAAGGTAATTATGCAAAACCAGAATTTTTCCTCACTTTTTCCACTCTGTGAAATTAGTATGGCTATTTGCAAGCTGCAACAGTACACAACAGAGCAAGAACCCCAGCAGAAGCTCGTGTTAACCCAGGAGACCAGCACAAGATRGTTGTCAGGTTCTTCTTGTCTGTCCTTGCTACACTCACAAAAACCCCTCATGGGATGGTTATTCACAGTCATCAGATGCTGATTTTCCTTTCAAGTATACATGATGGCTAATGAAAGGTAAYGAGTTACTGTGGGGGGAACATGCAAAAGATGTGCAAAAGATTTGACTGTTGGCCCTTTAAAGCCCGATCCCGATCCCTGGCTTCAAGGAGCTGTAACAGGAGACTTTTCCAACTGTTGCACGTCCTGTATTCATGCTGGAACTGGAGAACTCTAACCCTAACAATAACAAGTCAAGAGTTCATGGGCTGGATGACGCACTTAAAACAGAGCATTCCTTTTCCCCAGGCTTCTTTTAGGTGTTTCAAGTCAAAGTCCAAAACAAACCTGAAGCATCCAAAATCACTGCTTTCTTTTGGAGACCCTGACTTCTGGGCTTTGCCTCCTGACAACCTGAGCAGGAAAGCTGCAAGGAAGGACTGACAAGTGAAAAATGGCAGAATTCATCAAATTTAAGAAAACAGACTGCCCAGAGGGGAAGGAAAGGCATAATCAGCAGCTTTTAAAGGGCTCCTGGTGCCATTGTATAGTATCAGATATGAATTTACTAATTTGCAGGAAAGATTTCCCATTTATAATAAAATTCTGATCCCAGGATTTAAACATATAYACATGAACTGACTGCATGTTCTCAGGGCAGTCATAACATGGCTTGGTTAGGTGAAGAGGAATAGCAGCACAGAAAAGAACAGAACCAAACTCTTCAGCAAAAAGGACAATGTATTTTTCTGCTTACAAACCACCTCTCAAATCAAAACATGAAAGTTGTCTCTTAAGTCTTTCAGAGATTTAGTCCAGAGCACAGAAAGCCCTCAGGCGGACAATGGCAGAGTCCATGTTTCTCATTCATATTATTCCTGTTTTTTCACCAAGGGAACAACTACATCCCAGATCCCAGTCCCATCAATGTGAGCCTACTGCGGGATTAAGGCATCATTATTCTTTCTCTCCAGCTGTTGGTACCAGGCTGTTACACCCCTGCAGGTACCACAAGCTTTTTCCCAACACACTGAAACTGTTTAGCAGCCTTCCTTTATGCTTAGTGGACTTTGAATTCAGACCCAATAGAGTTGTATGCTCTGAATACAGAAATTTTCTTTTCCAAAGCTTGTGTTTAATGCTCACTGCTGTGGAAGTCGCATTCTCTTTCAGCTCTTTGTTCTCCTCTTTTCCACCAAGTCATTTCTGTGGATTACAGAAGAGCAAAGAGACTACAGCTTCATCTCTAAAAAACCCATCTGAGAATACCACAGGACAAAGTCTTGAAAACCAAGAATGGGTGCCTGTAAGCTGACTCTTCAGGATCTGCATCACCTTCTTGCTTCCAAAAGTGGCCACATGTTTGATGGTGTGGGATACAGGGCCCGCAGAACAATGGCTGTACAGCTCCAAAAACAACCCGTGCCCAATGCAGCAGGGAGAGACTTCCACTGGAGCTCTGGCACTGGAGCTCACMAAAATCTGAAGTGAACTGGATTACTTCTTTCTGAGTGACCACTGCTTTTATTCCATGGGAAAGTAGATGAGGGCTTTGTGGATACAATATGCGCCAAAGCCACAGGAATCAGCACGCAGCTTGTGGGGGGCTTGCCATGGTCTCTGCTCTCTAGTTCTCTGCCAACAAATTAAAGTAGACCAATTTTTTTAGCTGTTTTTCTGTAATTTTTAAGATTTTCTTGTGGAATGTTGCAAAAGAAAATTGATCATTTCTTAAGGAACTAATTTCCCCTGCACCCACAAAACTTCTTTTTCTCCCTCCTCCTCTTCCAATGGTACATTAAACATGCCAATGGAAAGCTTGCACAGCTCTAGGATTGGGGGGATGTTTTTTTCTCAGTCAAGAAGTACAAGTTCAGTTGTTCTTTTCAGTTCTGGGGACAGAGATTTTGTCCTTCAGGAAAGCTACATATATAGGAAGAACATCAACTCCAGTATGTTGTTTGCCTCACAATTCACTATAACATTTCTCTAGCACCAGGCATGGCCGCCTCCCGAATAAGCAGAGTTAAAACTTTCCTGTAGGTGTCTAAGACTTCTTGGGCAGAAGGTCGTTCTGCTGGGTCCTTCCTCTTACATGCTGCATGGATGTCAAACAAATGCAGTCGCACAATGTCACTTCCTTCAACATGGCCCAAGAAAAAATCGGAGACATCAGGGATTTTCCAGATGTCTGTTTTCTCATCATARGGAGGCATGAGGTCATCTTCGAATGGCACGTCTTCTCCGTAGGGCCAACGCTGCTCAGGAGCTACAAACTCACCCCGGAGCTCCCGGTGACCGCACTTCACCAGCATGCCAGCGCTCCTGTTCACGASAGGCAGAGCATCCAAATCATTCACCAGAACGTGAAAGTCACTTGTCAGGAGATACTGAGAGAGAACCTTGTCCAGGTCATTCGAGTCGCACATCACTAAGGTGCCCAGAGGGCTGCTGTGCAGGTACCGAATGACGCTCACATAGTCTATGGCGAGCATCAGCCTGCGATGCCACGTGTTCATGCCCTTGTATTTGGGAATGTGCAGAGTTTCATTCAGGCCTCTCAGTGAGCCAAAAGGATGGTACTCAGTGAGGATTGTGAACTCCTGCTCACAGTAGCCAAGCAGCCGGACAACGTGCTTGCTCTGAAGTGCTTTCAGCATCTTCAGTCCATGGAGAAAGTCCTCCTTCAGCTCTGAGTTGGTGAGCTGTGAAAGGACCACTTTCTTCTCCTTCCACTCAGAAAGGAAGACCTGAGAACACACAAGAGACAAGTCATGTGGAGTGGAGAGCCTTTTTCTATGAACCGCTACCAGCTGCTGCTGACCTCTTCCTATAACTGGTTAGTCACAATGGCAAATTACAGTCACCAGGCACGGTCAGCCTTAGGTACAGCCATGTAGCTATCACAGCAAGCCCCTTCTGATGTCATAATTACATCATGATTTCTTAAGTTTTCTTTGGAATGGACAATGTAGATGAATTAAGTCATTGTATATCACCCAAACAGCTGGTCTTACTCTGCCCTGATTGTACCAATTTGTGATTTTGCTTGTGTAGCTGGATGTTGTTTGGTGTCAGAGAGGTGGCCCAGGTCATGCTCTCCTACCTGTTGTGTTCGCCTTATCCCTAGCCATATGGTCCTGGATGCCTACAGTAATTAGCTGCTGGGAGGATAATCATAACAGCAGTACASGCATTAATTAGCCAGCAAACTGGCTAGAAAACTCTTTATCCAGGGGACAGAAGAAAGGAAATCCAAACTCACCTTTTTCACAGCACCTTCACCAACACACTTRAGTTTCCTGACTTCCCTATTTATGGCCTCGCAGGAAAGCCACGGGGTACAATTCTTCACTGCTCCCAATCTGAAGTGCCCAAACGGGCAGAGACCGGGATCCGTATCGACACGTCCCAGAGAGTTGGAAAACTTGTTGAGATACAGGTAGAGAAGGACATTGAGGAGCAGGACGGCCGCAAGCAGCAACGCCAGCGAGATGGATGGCAYCTCTCTGGGAAGAAACTCCCTCCTAACGAAATGTGGTTTCTTTTCCATGGCCGTGCCTTCCGCATCCTCCGTGAAAGATGAAGGCTAAGCAGGACCCTCTTCCCAGTCCGGGGATGAGCTCCTGTACGGCTTTTTCAGCGCCGGTTCTCCAGCCGTCCCGCAGACACGGCGGTCCTGCAGCCTGCGGAGTGAGGCCACGCGTGGCAGCGAGACGTGTTAAAGGCGGCTGCAAGCTCGACGCTCGCCTCGCCGCCCATCCTCCCGGCTTTCCGCGCAGGCGGGCCCGAGCCGCGGCCGGCGCGGGCAGGGACGCTTGACCCCGGAAAACACCGGGAGGAGCGGCAGCGCGGGGTGGTGGCGGCGGCGGCCCCGCCCCGGGGCGGAGAGCGGAGCGCGGCGCGATGGCGGCGGC